TATCATTCAATCCGAGACAACCTGCAAAGACTTACCTATCCCAATCGTAATCTCGCCTGTCGGCCGCCCGAAATCCTCCATCGACGAACACGCACAGAGGCTGAGGCCCAGCCAAGCGGTGCTGTCCAGCAGAAGCGAAGGAAGTCCCTTGAGCGGAGAGGTCCAACAGGTCCAGCGGGTCGATCCGGAGACAGATGGGAGCTGAAACAGAGTCGTAGAGAGGGGAATTAGCAAAGTCAGCGAAAGGTTGGTCATTCATCAGTATCTTTCTCGATAGGCCTAGGTTAAAATCGAGTGGCGACCGTGATAATTAGTGATCTCGAGGGCGTGTGGTTGATGTCGATCCTCCGTCCGGCTACAACCTAACCTCAAAATATTGAAATTTTTCCAACGCGACACACGTTACGATTCATACATGCTTAAGATTAATAAATGTTTACGTTTTTTCTTTCTAATTTAGTACGCCAAAATCACGAGAGACAATAGAAGAAGAAGAAGACTGGTGGTTTGATTGGAACAACAGTCCGATTAAAACACAAACTAGTGCAATAGAATCGTATCGTAGCGTTGACGACGATTCAATAGCGAAAAGGGAGACGACTGTAAATAAAGATTCTGGATTTTCCAATGTAACACGAAAGACGAGCACGTCCACCACCACGACGACGACGACGACGACGACGACTCGTATCATTTCCGAGTCGTTTTGCAGCGCGCAAGACAAGAGGGCACGTGTCGCAAAACGTGTACATTTTGATTCATTACCAACGAGTAAAAAAATGAAAAAGGACGATGAAAAGATGTGAGTTGTTGTTGTTGCTCTTATTGTTTCAGAAAATGATGTATATATAAAATACAGCAATCAATGTTTTTCTTTCGCTAGTTGCACAACAATTGCGACAACAAGGAAAAATGTGCTCGACAACGCGGATACAGACGTTGAGTCCACAGCGACAAAGACGAGCACGTATGAAATCGTAAAAAATACAAAAAGCGCATCGACAAACGAGACGGAGAAAAACGACGTGACAACGAGAAAATTGTATCGCGACTCTGACGTTGGCGTAACGCTGAAAGATTTAGGTTTCAACAAACAAATAATGTCGTGGATTAACGTTATTCGACAGAAACCAATAATGTCCGCGATGCCTGTAAGTCATTCCATATCGCGATACGATCACGTACGTTTGTTTCTTTCATCATTCTTTTCCATTTTGAACCGTAGATTACCAAAGACGAGTTGCTTGAAAGACACGGCGATTTAAAAGACTTCGAACGTGAAATTCTCGACAAATTTTACAAAGCCGTCGAGTTGATGCCCATATCGATGCTTGAACAGTTTCCAAACTTTGACCCAATTTCTTACGCCACATTGCAGTGTTTGCGTCAACATGTAAAAGCTAAAATACGCCTTGTACAAACAACACTGTCGAAATTATCAAAGAAAGATGAAACGGTATACGACGCGCCGGTAGAGACACTTGTTGCTGTTGATGCTGCTGCTGCTGCTGATGGGTCTGCACCGTCCAACGCACGAGAAACATTACGTTCCGACATGTCTGAGACTCATTTCCAAAACGACCACGCCACGTTTCGCGCACCGCGCACCTCGGTATCCAAATGCACTCTCGCACCCTTTCCTCGTCGTCGAAGCTCGGTTAGCGTAACGAACGCGTATATCGATGCAAAGCAACAAGAGAACAAGGACGAAATGGTAAAACCTACGGCAGCTGTTAAGCCACTTGAAACTACAATTTCAACGAAAAGGAGTACTTTTAAATTGAAAAGACCTATAAAAACAATCATGAGTCCAAACGTTTGTAAAACAATAGCGGAAATGTGGAATCAACAACGAGTGTCTACCGAGACGCGAAATATTTCACCGGCGTCCGCGTATGTCGTCGCAAAGGATCCCGTTCACGATGATTTTAAACAGCTGTCGAACACGGAGAAAACGACGCAAAAAACGTTCGTCGCGAACAGTCGGGCGACGCGGACGGCACCGAGCTCAGGTAAAATTTAAAAAGTGTTTGACAATGGACACATTTCGTTGAAAAATTGAATCGTGCGTCGCGCGACATTGTCGTCAAACGAATGCAAATACTTTTTACACACACAGGTATGGGCCGTGTTGAAAGCGTTATCGGAACAATCGACAGCTCTTTCTCAATGACGCAAGACATTGAACAATTTCCGGCTTTAGGAGAAACGTGTAATATAGACACAAGCGAGGGTGTTACAAGTACGCGAACCGTTACACGTACGTGTGTGATGTATGTAAAATTTGATTTTTTATTTTCCACGCGTTCGGTCGACAATGTTTAAACTGCTGTGTTTGCATTTTTGTTTGCCGTCACGGTAGAATGGTCAAAGATGAGTTGGACACAACGCGCGGCGTACGTGGATGACACGATAAAATTTGCGGTAGCGAAGAATGGCGTGGAATATGGAACGTTTATTGGAGATTATAAAAATGACGGTACCAGTGGAGAATTTGACAATACGACGTACAAACATTCGTTAAGAATGATCGAGGTATGAGTAAAAAAATATACTTTGACGCTTTATATTTGTCGGGCGAGTGTGCACGGCCGTTATACACGTAGATGTTACACGTCACGCACACGCGACGTGTCGTGACATGTAAATCACGTCGCGTGTGACAACGCGCAATATATATAGTACGTTACGTATGTGTCGCGTGATTTCAGACATTTCGGCAGATATTCGGTTTGCAAACGTTTCGACCGATTCAGTTTCAAGCTGCGAACGCGGCACTGTTAAAGTTCGATTGTTTCGTCTTAATGCCGACCGGAGGTGGAAAATCACTTTGCTATTACCTGCAATGCTGACGCGCGGGTTAACGATCGTTGTCTCACCATTGAAGAGTCTTATTTTGGACCAAGTGAAAAAACTCGTCTGGCTCGACGTAAGATCAAGTAACGATGTGTTTGTAGCTAAATAATTTGAGAAACAATGTACAATAATTAAGTATCGTACAAAAATGTCAAATCATTTTTTTTCATTTTCGAAATTGAAATTTGTGCAGATTCCCGCGACTCATTTGTCCGGCTCTACAACGACGAGGCAAGCAGAGGCGATATACAGGGAACTCGCTAAGAAAGACGACCCCACTCTCAAAATATTATACGTCACACCGGAAAAACTGTGTGCGTCGTCAAAATTTTGCAACGTTCTGACCAATTTGTACGAGAGAGAGCTGTTGACGAGATTCGTCATTGACGAGGCTCACTGTATCAGTCAATGGGGTCACGATTTCAGACCGGCGTATAAAAAATTGAACAGTCTTAGAGATCGTTATCCCAAAGTACCGATGATGGTTTTGACCGCGACAGCTACGCCGCGCGTTAGAACAGATATTTTGCGTCAATTGCACATAACTAAACCAAAGTGGTACGTATACGTACACGTACATGTATATATGTATGTGTGCATTTATATATACGTACGACGTATGATTACTTAATATTCATCAGGTTCATGTTGAGTTTCAACAGGCCAAATTTAAAATACAGCGTACGCGCGAAGCAAGGCAAAACGTGTTACACTCAAGTTGCGACCTTGATAGAAACGACATATCCCGACACTTGCGGCATCGTGTACTGCTTATCGCGCAAGGATTGCAACGAATGTGCCGAGTTGTTGCGAAAACGCGGCATTAAAGCGTCAAGTTATCACGCGGGAATGTCGGATAACGAAAGAACAGACTGTCAAGAGAAATGGTTCGTCAACGAGGTATGCATACAGGACAATATTTCGTACGCGTCTTGCGCGCGTACGCCCACGCACGATACATGTATGTACGTAAAGAATTATATCGCGTCGACGCGTGCGTACACACACACACATACGTGTTTTTGCAGATACACGTTATATGCGCGACTATAGCCTTTGGAATGGGTATCGATAAACCGGATGTGCGTTTCGTGATACACGCAACGCTACCAAAGTCTATAGAAGGCTACTATCAGGAAAGTGGTCGCGCCGGTCGTGACGGCGAGACGGCGGCGTGCATATTATTTTATCGTTACGCAGACATGTACAGAATCAGAAAAATGATCGAACTAGATAATCCAAATCCACAAGTTTGCAGTACTCACATGGCGAATTTGTTTGAAATGGTAACGTTCTGCGAAAACATTACCGATTGCCGTAGATCGTTACAGCTGACGCATTTTGGAGAAACATTTAACAAACAACAATGTCTCACGACGGAACGAACCACGTGTGATAATTGCAGCAGCAGCAAGGTCGGTGGTGTACATGTATCGCAAAACGAGGACGCGCCACACACGCGGCACGTATATATAATTGTTTGGTGGGAAATTGCAATTAATTATAATTTTAGGATGAGATTACGTGGTTGAACGTTACCGAAATGGCGAGAGATATTGCGAGAGTTGTGAGAGATATCAACGATAACAAGCGTCGCAAGCTCACGCTCATATTTCTGACGGATATTGTCAAGGGCAGTAAGCTGAAAAAGATTCGACAATCAGGTTTCGTATACACTTGTTGTTGTTGTTGTTTCCGTCTGTGTGAAACGGCAAAAGACGTCGCGAGTTGGCATTGACATGTTTATTTGTACAAGTGAAAACGTGGTTTTTTTTTGTTCAATGTTTAATTTTTTCCAGATCTTACAAAAGATCCTTTATACGGTCGCGGTAAATCGTGGAACAAGAGTGACGTGGAACGTCTCATGCATCATATGGTCGTGCAAGATTACTTACAAGAATATATGCATACGAATAGCGAGGGTGTCTGCGCGTACGTAAAACTTGGATCGAAAGCGACGGAACTTTTGACGAGAAACGCCACACAGGTACAAGTAACCGTGATGGGATATTGCCGAATGGTGAAATGTCACGCAATACAATTACAGTGCGTTTTAGTTAATTTTTCTCGATGAAATTATATTGTATACGAGTGTGTGTTGCAGATGTAGAAAAGAGACGGAGACTGCGATTACTTTGTTCATTTATTTTGCCTTTAACACATTTTGTGTTTCATCTTGCGTCATTTATTCGAAACAGATGGAAATTTCAATGAGACGCGCAATGAAACGTAGTACGCGCGGTGTATCTAATAAAGTTTCAACAGTCGCAAAAAAACTCGACAACGTTGTGAAAGACGTGCAAGCTCGTTGCTATGCCGAATTGATTGAAAAAATAAGAGAACGTGCCGCGACCGTGAACGTTTCTGCTTCTTCCATAATGCACGTGATTGCTATCAGAGCAATGAGCCAGCGTTTGCCGGAAACCAAGGAAGCAATGTTTGAAATACCGTACGTTACCGAGGCAAATTTTGTTAAATATGGCAAAGCGTTGTTGAACATTACGCAGAAATACGCAGCCGAAAAAACAGGTACGTGAAACGTTTGCGCACGCACACGTATAAAACACATCCGTAAAGTATCAACGTGACCGTCGTGTGAACGCATGCGTCGTTCGTTTTAGCACTATTAACGAAGAGGGATGCGAAACGGATTGACAATAGTAACGCGGCGCGTCGAGATGACGATACGTCCACGTGTTTTCGCATCGGTACCGTCGCTAGTCGCGGTACGCGTGGCGAGAAACGAAAATGTGACGATGGATCTACCGACGACGTACCGTTGGCATTACCCGCCGATGAAAAGTTTAACCAGTTTAACCGAGGTGCCACAACAAGGTACGTGTAGTAATATCAGACACGTGCGTATACACGTGCGCACACGTACATACAAATCCGTCTCTTTTAATTTACGCGTAACGCACACGGGTTGTGCACGTTGAGGATGAAAAAATACGAGACAATCACACGCATACATGTTTTATTTAATTTTCTTTTTTGTTTCCGATTATTCACAGCGCTGCGCATAGAGAAAGGGGCTCAGCGTCGAGAAAGATGTAAACATTGGAATTGAAGAGTTGAAGTTGCGCGCAAACACAAGATACATGTCGCACGCACATATATTAATCGATTCCACGGAGCACAAAGGTTGCGTGATTTGATATTTTTCGCTCATTTATTAAAAATGCAACAACAGACTTTTTTGTTTTTTTTACATTCGCATTCCTTCATTTCACATATTAATCCCGATTTTTTCAGTATTTTTTACAATAACTTTTTCAATTTATTTTATCGCATTGTCGGCAAAGCGAAGGACGTTTAATTTTTCCAGAGTTACAACTTGTTACATTTTCCTCGTTTCTACTATTTTCCCCCATTTTTTTGTTTTTCATTTTTTTCTCATAAATGTTTCCGAATGAAAAAGTGTGGCGATCTTGTATGTACAAAGCCATAGATTGTGAATTAACAACGACTACGCGCAAGTTTGGCTATTTTATCCCGGCGACCAATACGTTAAATTCTATTGCGTCAACGTATCGCAGCGTTCCAAAAATCATCGAGTCGCGGTGATTTTACGAACGCTCTTTCTTCATTCGCCACAGCGAGTGTGCGTATCTATCGCATATTTAACTTATCATAGATCAAACAGAGTATATATCGGCGCGAATGAACCTGCGTACGTAAATATTACCTCGCGTTGCGCTGCTATCGAAATGGATTCGACTAGAGTTCACATTGGTAATTTAATCCATTTGTAATTTATGTTTTTCTTCTTAATTTTACGAAAATATATATATACCTATTTGTTTACGCGTGGAAAATTTAGCTTTCGCGAAACTGTGCCCAACAATATTTGTCCATCGCACGGCAATATCTACATGCGTATTTTTTTGCAAAATATTTATCTCACAAATGTGTATATATATTTATATAGGTGATTTATTTAGGAAAAAATGGTAGAAAACGTGCGCGAGTCGGATTAAACGAATAAATTTCGCACGTCGAAACTCTCGTACGCAATGCGACGCAACGCGACGTACGACATTGTGTGTGCGCGCGATACGTCTCGGCATCTTTTTTTCTACACGGGTAAAAGATTCTACACAAGTTAACTCGTGTCGACAAGGGTGCAATTATTAAGTGAAATTTGTTTAAAACTTTGTTTCTAGAACCATCGTTGATTCACGATTGGGTAAAACATTTACGTCGACGTGAAAAGGAACAGCATCTGAAGCTAGTGTTCGCCAGGACAACGCTGGAATTTCCCACGGCCTTTAACGGTCGGTGATAAAATACTTGTGTTATTTGTTGGCGTACATCCCCGCGACAAGGCATTAGAACGTTATAATCGACGTCTTGTTATATATTTACGATAATTGATTTGTTTTTTAATTTTCTACATTAGAACTCAAAGAGTCGACCGTGAAAATCATCTTCAAACTGGCCAATTGTTTAAAGCTAGAACCGAAAGTCAAGTATATGGCCATTGAACTGTACGACACATTTATGCGCACGTACTTTTGGAAAATCTATCGAGAAAAAATTGAGAAAAATTGGTCCGATTCCAAGTGGTGTAAAGTTTGCAAAAAATTCTCCAATCGCAACGATTTGCATTTGATGTCGCGTTTTCAATTGGCCAGTAAAATGGAGTGTCGAAAGTCAAACAGTTGCAGTAGAATATCGCAGGTATATATTACTTTGAAAATACGTATTGTAATCACGTGATTCCGAGCGACTCTCATCGCGTCGAGTCGACACGTTGAACAAACGACGTTGAAACTAATAATTTTGCTATATCTTAATCTTTTGTTAGATTCTCAATATTCTACGATTGATGAACAAAAACGTCGAGTATACGCCGAGCATGATTGCTTCCTCGGAGAGACGTGTGTTTCAAATGGTAGATTTTAAAATACCCATGTACACTTTGGTGCATTCCATCGAGACTGTATTGGCGGCGACGGGTTTCGACGACGAGCGTGAGCCAAAAATGCTCAGCACTTCACTGGAATTGTTGGATTTGGCTTATCTAACGGTAATTTATACACATGTACACGCGCACATGCAAATCATTTGTAGGCTACAACTAACTTTTATTCCATGTAAATATCAGCACGATACTGCGTTCGAACAATTTCATTTGCGCTATGCGAACAATGAATTGGACGCGCAGTACGCAGCCGATAAGACTCTAACGTTAAAATCAAACACACTATTGTTTGTTTTTATGGTATACAGCGTTGTTTATATGCCTCATTTGTTGCTCTATGAGCAGTGCTTGGTCTTATCTGTTCTAAACATTCAGAATTTTTTTTCTCCACATTCCAGGAATAATATTTCCGTCTGTTTTCTCCGTATCAACAAAATTTAAGGGACAATATATTCTATTCGCAATTGGCTGTATGTCATTTTTTGTTTTTAAATAATTGTGGAGACATACTACTGCCATTACTATTTTATTTACGTTTTTTGAATGCATAAGAATTGATTTTTTGAAAACTCTCCATCGAGATGCGAATATACCAAAAGTATTTTCTATAATTTTTCTCGCTCTTGATAATCTGTAATTAAATATTTTCTTCTTAATTTCCAATTGACGGCCAGGATATAGTCTCATCATATTTTCGGATAATTGAAACGCTGCATCTCCAACGAACTAACACGGTGTAGCTATGTTATTTTCGAGTAAATTAGCTTTTCCTTTTGATAAATTTAATGTGTCAGTCTGTATAGCTTTACCAAACTCAGATATCTCAAATATAATGGAATCACTACTATTTCTATATGCTCCGTAATCAACTATTGTAAATTTATAATTGTTATCGCATGCTGCTAACAATACTACACTAAATGTCTTTTTATAATTATAATACAAGCTATCAGAATTTGGTGGCGCTTGTATTTGGACGTGTTTTCCATCCACTGCGCCACAACAATCAGGAAAATTCCAGTCTGTCCAAAATCCATGACAAATTTCAAGCCATTTTTCTGTAGTAGAAACTTGAAAATATATCGGTGCTAATACTTTTACTAGTAAATAACATGTTTTCTTATTTATATTTCTTACTGTAGATTCACCAACTCGATAAGCAAGTGCTATCGACAAAACTTGATCTTCAGTGGCAAGATATCTAGAATAATAAACAAAAATCAAAATTAAATATTTATTCTCATTTGACATATAAAAGTAAGATATAAAATATATATGTATATACCTTAAAGTTATAACAAGACGTGTTGTTCAAGTATTAATGCTCGATGGTTGGTTTTTGTTAAAAATGGTTTCATATCATTTCCAAAGTTCATTGAAAACACACAGACATTCTTGTATATCTAAAAAACCTCTGTGGGTCGTCTTATTTCAACTCTTGGAATAATTGATCAAAATCTCCTTGATTAGGACGTAATATTAATTGGATGAACCCAGTATTTTCTATTTATCCACCGAAAAGATCTTCGTTTTTTAATTATATAATAAATGCCCAGTATTAATATTATTAATGCTAATAACTCTTCTTCTTCTTCAATATCCATTTTCTGTAAAACATATTTATATATATAAAAAATTTTAATCTTACATTTAATATTAATTTATATATATTATCATATATATATATATAATATATTCATATATACTTATATTTCTCTATATTTATATTTATCTCTTGCTAATATTTTTTAAATCGCATAATATATTTTTAATACATGTCACAAATTTACTTAAATTATATATTCCAATTTATAAATTACAGTTTTTTCTTGTCAAATATTTATTATTGTACCATGTCTACAACACAAAGTTAGGTTACATGTGCTATCAGACTTAAGGAAGACGCCGAAACATAATGCCGTACCAGAGACCGGCGGGAATCGACCCGCGCGATCCGATGCGACGACCGGTCGACGAAAGAGACCGAGAACGACGTAACGTTCTCACCCGGGAGATTGAGAGGGTCGCCATGATATTGCAGAACCGGCAACAATCACGCTAGGTCCTACAATACGCCGAATCATACGCGGTACAATTGCCGCCGATCGATCGTGACGAAGAACAACGTCTGGACGACGATAGCCAGGCGAACATTCGGCTGGCAAAAGCGATCTCGGTGTGCGAAGAAGGACGATTGCGCACTTGGAAGAGATGCGTCGATACGACGATCGACAACCCGATCGACGGCACGACAATGGCCACGGCCCTTGTCACAGTGACGCAACAATGCAGCGAGGAGGGACCGATGCCACCGCCCTACCGCATCGTCATAGATGTAAACGAGGATGGCATTAGAGCCAGATCGTATCTCCATAATTGCAACGCGGCAGCCGACAACAACAACGATCGCGATGAAACGATCGTTGATGAACGAGCGGCGAGAGAAGAAACGGCAGCGACGGCGGCGCGACAGCGACGCGAAATCGAAGAGCTGCCACGATTGTTAACCTCGCGATTGCACCGCGGTGACCGAGAGATTGGCCAGGTGACTCCAATAAAACCGACGGCGCAATCGCCAAGACAGCGCGAGCAAGGAGTGATGACGCCGAAGATGGTGACCCAGCAGCAGCAGCAGCAGCCGCGACCAGAGACATCAATGCCAAGCGAAGCAAGTGGATGTCAACGGACAAACGGGGCAGCGAGCGGCATGGAAAACGATTCCGAAGCGGAATCGATGTCAACCCCGACAAGCGAGAGATCGAACGCAACAACACCGCCGAGCGAGGCAACGTTAAGCAGACCGGCGAGCCGGCGGACGGAGGGGTCCGAAAGCGGGGAGATAGGGCCGGAACAACGGCAACGGAGCGACGGACGCAACAACGATGACGAGGTACGACAGGTTTCTTCTTCTTTTTCGTCTCGTTATTGGTACAGCTTTCCTTTCGTATTTGCATCAATCATTATTCGATTCGGTAGGTACAACAGGCGAACCTCGCGGAGCAGGCGACCTACGAGATCGCGACGACCGATCAAATTAGATCCGCAACAACTGTCGAAGCAATGGGCGCAATGGTCGAGGTGGAGGAGGAAGAGAACGCACCACCGAACGAAACAACAACGAGAACGATGACCAATCGAGACGCAACACCGCCCAACGTGCGAAACGACGTTGCGACAAGTGATTCGCATCCGATCGCGACGCAAAACGAGGGCAATGAGAGCGAATACTGCTTATCAACCAGCGGCGAACGCGAGAGCGCCGACGAAGACGAAGAGGAAGCAGCCGACAACATTGACGATCGCGACAACGACGACGGCCATGATGACGGCCACGACGCCGGAGACGGCGACGAGAAGGCCGACGAGATAAAAGAAAATGACCGTGGGTACGTCAGATATCAACGGGAGACGAGTCCAATGATCACGGTCGAGGAAGTCGGGCGCCGTAAAGCGTTCCAAACAGCGAGAGCAATCAACCACACCTTGCTGCGGGAAGAGATTAGAGAGAAGAAACGCAATCAACGCGCGAACAAGCGCAAAGCGCTAACCGTACCGACGGAGGCTGACCAGCGATCGACCGCGATGGCAAAAACCAACCGGCGGGCGAACGAGGGAAAATCGTCCAAATTCGAACTGACAGAAAAGATGGGAACATTCACGGATAAACAACTGCGAAACGTGGCAATATCGAGAATCACGTTGTCACCACGAACAGCGGCGGCTCTAAAAGACGCGATCCATATAAACCAAGGTGTATGGGCGACAAAACCGCGCCCGATAAGAGGGCCGGCAGTGAAGCCTCAACCGGAACGACAACCAGAAGCGGAAAACCGAGAGTTCCAACAGGACAAGGATCCGGGAACGAGTGGACTGTCGACGACGACCAGCACGACCGCGACAACGATGTCGCGAGGGACGCGGAGGACGTCCGAATCGGGAGCGTCGACAATCGCAAAAAGGTGAACGAACAGGTGCAAAGCGCGCAGATAAAAGGTCAGGGCGAACAGAGACACCCTAACGACCAACGTAAATAAATGTACCCTAGGAAATAAGAAATACGCGCAGTGACTCCGTCGAGTAAGACGCGAGCGCAAATAATAGATTTAAGCTTAAAATATATATGATAGAAATTAAGATTCCGCGTAAATCACGCGAATATTATACATTGCAATTTAAGTGAGAATAAACATTTTGTTTTGTCATTTCCTTTTTTTTCCCGCGTCAAGAGGCATGTTCGTCTAAAGATTAATTTTTTGTTTCTTTCCTCTATTCTTCAATCGACTAGCCGAGAACAAAGTTAAAAAACATTAAGATGTCTTTTCGAATTCAATTATTCAAATGCAGTGTAATGATAAACAAATAAAGAGAATTTAAGCATCGCGCAATGAGAAGTAGATTTATTTCGTGATAGACAAGCCCCATACCCTACCAAGCAAATCAACGCTCGAACAGCGGTGGCAGCGAACGACTGCGAGATAGGGAAAAAGTCGAGCAAACGAGACGTGCTCGAAGGTCGACTTGACGGGGAGAATGCAACCGTCCGCTGGGCTGCACCGACCGACGACCAGCCAAGCGGCAACCGAGCCAACAGCTGAGGAGGCGAGGCAACAGAAGCAGCGGTAAGCTCGGACGACAATAGTGGGATAGATACGTGAGGCCAGCGGGCCGATTAGAGTAGGTAAGCTATGGGAGTTCTAACTAGGGAGCAATGAGGGGGGGTGAGGGGCGAGGGGAAACCGCGGGCGGGGGGAAGGACCGCGGGCGGGGGGAAGGACCGCGGGCGGGGGGAAGGACCGCGGAAGGGGGGGGCCCGGGGGGCGCGGGAGAGGGGGAACCGCGCGTTTCGGGCGCCGCGGGAAAGGGGGAAGGGGGGAACCGCGTTTTTTCGGGCGCCGCGGGGAGAGGAAGGGGGAAACCACGTTTTCCGGCGTTGCGGAGGAGGGGGTCCGCGTTTTTCGGTGTCGCGGGGGAGGGGGGAATCGCGTTTTCCAGCGCCCCGCGGCGCGGCGGAAACGCGGTCACCTCGCCGCGGAGCGTTCGCGTTTTCGGGCGTCGCGGGGCGAGGGGACCCGCGTTCGCGTTTCGCCGCGCCGCGGAGTCCGCGTGACGTCACACGGCACGCTCGCGTTATCTCCCCTTCGTAAATGTCCCCCTCCCGTCCCCAGGTCGCGCGCGTCTTCTCGTTCGCGCGGTGTTTTGCGTCCCCGTCCCCCCCCGTTTGCGCGAGTTTTCTCGTTCGCGCGGTCTCTTTCTCTCGCGCGTTCTCGTTCAGAAATTATGCAAAAATTATTAAATAAAGACAACTTAACAAAAGGGAACGGTAAATGAAAAGGAAAAACTTTTTAACCATATTATATGCATTTATTTACATGTAGCGCATTATACACAATACTATCCAAAGCGTAGGCTAATAATTCGCAATCAATAATCGAATTTTTATCATAAACGTCACGCAAGATTGTAACTGCATTACATTTATCAGTGATACAATTTTGACGTAAAATTGTTACAAACTGTTTGAATTTTTCACTTACGCCGTGAACATTTTGACATAGTTGAAAATACACATTCTCGACGCATTGTTCTAGTTCGAACAGGAAGAGTACAGTTGACGGTTTCATGTACAAGCTGGTGCCGCACGACGTCAATTTTACAATATCTGCGTCACGTATTTTAACAAGCTCCAGATCTCGAAACGTTAGCGATGATGGTGCCGATGACTGCACGAGTCGCTGTATATCTGCACGTTTTTCGATGAATGTCACCCACGTTGCATGTAGCAGAATTATCCGATTGCCTCGGTTATCGCCAATAAGTATATCCGCAGAGGACATACAGGTCCCGCGTTGATTCCAACATCCAAAAATGTATACGCTGTTGATGTCAAGGCAAATCTTCTTCCCAAAATACGTGGCGTGTAGCGGGGTTTATCAAAACTAAAAAATACAATTATATGTTTATAAAAGTTTTTTTGCACAAGTATATATGAAAATTAGCGGTACTTACTCATTGTGCTGTTTCTCGCACGTTTCGTCGTGAATCGGAACGTAGTAGTTCGCACCGTGAGTGTTCATCGTATCTGGAGGCTGTTTATTGCAACTTACTCGAACCGTATCGAACTCTTGACTATGCTCTAGAATCCTCATAGACTATTTATACATACCCAAAACTGCAAATCTTGCAAAAATAGCGCCAATGTACGGCTGCTGCATGGTGACCACCACCACAATCCACATATACGTTAAATGTGATATCTTCGTCAAGAATATTCGTGATGAGATCACCTCATCGGGCATCAAATATGATTTTTTTCAAGAGCATACGTGTCTCGCGATGATTTCATCGAACACGTGCAAAACTGCAAATTT